ACCCTGACCAGCTGATTTAAAGCCTAATGTCCAGGGCAATAAGTCAAATATCCTGTGGAATATATATTTAGAATTACGAGAACTGTGATAAAACTGAGTGGAGAAGCCTAGTTTTCACATTTTAGTCTACGAAATTCTACAACCTTTTGCTCGCCAATCCATCAAAGTGATTTACTTTTGAGGATAAAAGTGAATAAAAACTAGGATGTGTACATTCGTCTTCTGTACTTTTGACATCCTCTTAAGACAGATGACCGGTGGAAGAAAAAAGTAAACCTTCAATTGGATATGAATTAATCAAAGCCGAAAGTAATCCATCTTTCGTTTGTTCTATCTTCAAGAATTCCACTACAAACCATTTAGTTCCACGCACACACACAAAAAAATGGATTCTTATACTGCTCTTAAAAATCAAACCCAAATGTATAATGACAGCTTTTAACTGATTAACGAGGTGGCGCCATTGTCTAGACATTAAAGTACATCAACTTCAAGGGGAGAATTGATAAAAAGAATCGGTTTGACAATGAAAAAATTAGCATATAAATCCGTGGTCAAATTTGTAAACAAATTAAATTCTTAAAAACTAATTCCTGAAGATAAACAGAGTATTTAGACAGATTGCGTAAGTTGATTTGATGGTTTCGGAATGTGTTGCGAATGCAACCTTAGAAGCTTCTAAATTATTCACTATTGGTTCGCTGGCGGTCTGTTTGGAATAAGCGAAGATATGGTCAGGTAGTTATGTAATACTGTGGTTTGATTTGTATAGTATTATTATTATTCTAGGTTGGACTGCGGATTGACGCCAGTTTAAGAACAATTGAAAGTCACCTAGGTAGTACTGGATAGTTGTTCCACCCTAGTTTGGGACTCCATTGTCAGTACGCAGTCACTGGGTTTTCAACCCATCACCTTTCGGTCACAAAGCAAGCTCGTGGACCATTCAGCCACTGAGACCTGATACAGTGGCCCCTCTTTACCAGTCTTGTTGCTGGCTTAGCGAGGTAAAGGAGTGCGTCGGTAGCCAGGGAATAGAACCCCGGACCACATGCGTGGTTGGCGATCATTCTATCACCGTGCCACCAACGCACAAATTCGTGATTATTACTATTTTATTCTTTCGCGTTCTGGGTAGAACATAAGGCATCAAGCTTCAGCTTTGAATTCTCAGTGGCTGTGGTTTTACTTTTACCGGGGGGGTGGAGTGGAGTTCCTAGTCTGACATCTAACATTCCCTCTTTAACTGGCTCACTTCTAGTTTAGCGAGGTTTATGAATGGGTCATCTGGGAATCAAACCTCGGACTACGTGTGGTGTGGCATTCTTAAAAACTTAACACAAATGCTGAATACAGTTGATGCAACCCACGCTTTGCTGTTAAATAGATCGAAGTAATCTAGTGTTACAGCCGAGCTCATCAGTGGTGTGCCTCGTTAAACTCATTTCGATGAGACGAGTTCGCACCAACTACTTGGGGGGATTTTGTAATTTGATAATATGAAAAATTGCAAGCCGGTTGTTTTTAACCTGTCAGTAAGGTGATCGTTCAGCCTTTTATCAACATTTCTTGAATATTGTTTTAACAGAGTCCATGTACTTATTTGTTGTCGTCATTATTTCTGTTGAATAATTGAACGCAGTTTAACCAAATAGAAATTATATCGTTTCCTTTTTGATTGGACACTAGTAACTGGTGTTATGCGTCTAGTCCTTCCTTTGGTGCAGACTGAATTCTATCAGTCAGGTTTGCAATGTGGCCACTATTCTAGGTGGCTCGTCATCACGGTGTACATTGATTTGATGATATTAGATGGTTGAAGGCAATCGGTCACAGGAAGCCTTGGATCTAGCTTTCACGCAGCCTTGAAGGAACACTCATGTCCTTTCTGAGATTCAAACCCGCGTTACCCAGTGCCGCCTACAATCAGAGACGTTACCACTGAGCTAGCTATTCTAGCTAGCGATTGACCTCCTGTAGGGTGGCGAGCTATCTAGAATGGTGGCCACATTGCAAACCTGACTGATAGAATTCAGTCTGCACCAAACAAAGGACTAGAAACGTCGCACGAGTTACTAGTGTACAATCAAAATACCCACTACAGTCCCACAGAAGGTCAATCGCGAGCCTGAATAGCTCAGTAGTAACGTTTCTGACTGTAGACGTCACTGGGTGACACAGGTTCGAATCTCAGAATTTACATGAGTTCCTTCAAGGCTGCAGATTCGCCTTGCTGACTGGTGAGTGCCAACTAGCGCGACACCTAGGTCAAGTCAAGGCTTCCAGTAGCCGATTGCCTCCAGCTATCTACTACATTGTTTCCTGTTATACAAAACTGGTTATGAGCAAAGGACACTGTTACGATTATTTTAATACGTTAATTAGCCTGTCCTCATGAATTAAGACTTTGATAAACTAAGTGAATTTTCAATTGGAACACCACCACTCCATAGAAATGCAAATACATAAAGCTGACGGCTCTCGAACTCGATTCCACTGTACTAGTCATCATCGAAAAGAACACAGAATGCCAGTCAAATCTCTGTCTCACCCTCATCCTTTTTGAAAAGGCCTTTGATAGCATTAAGTACGAAGTAATTTGGAAAGCACCTCAACACTATGAAGTGCAGTAAGGCAAACCTTCATAGACCTCATTCAACAGCTATGCGATAATGTCACATGTTGACTGATTTACAACGAAAACTCAGCGAAGCGCTTAAAGTGAAGACAAGAGTAAGACAAGACTCGCTCACTACTATCACCGATGGTATTCCTGATTACGGTGGACTGGATAAAGCGGAAGACTGTGCACGTTGTACTGGCCGATAGGAAGACTACAAACTATCTGGAATTCGCGGATGATCTATGCTAAGACAGAGAATGAAGACAGAGCCCTAAGTAAAGATAGAAAAAACAAAGGTGATAAAGGTACCAACTCGAAATAACAATACACACCGGTCACTGTCAACGAAAGAAATTTGAAAGAGGTCACTCCATACATTTATCTACACAGCATCGTTTCAACTACAGCCGACGCCACAGATGAGGATGTGAAAACCACAGTCGATAAGGAGAGACAGATCTCCAGTACCCCGAAATCAGTCTGGAAATCTTCTCTTCTCAGCATTCAAAAAGAACAAACTTCGGACTTTCAACACTGATTTTAAGTGAGTTAGTTTTTCTATATTGGTCAGAAATATGGTCAACGCATCACGAAAACCATTTCAAGCAGTCTACTGCCGACGTTTATGAATATCCACCATTCACTGGCTCCATAATTAAGATAAAATGGTCAGTCAGAAAGAATAAAGCCAGAAGAAACTCTGGGAAAAACTGATCAAGAATCTATTGCTCAACAGGCATGGCGAAGGATCGGATACACTCTGAGGAAACGTCAGTCAACTACTGCAGTGGAACCAGAAAGGGGAAACAATGAGTTAGACGTTGGGTCGACAGCAACATAGGGGAGACCACGTGAGGAGGAGATGTAAGTCTATGGGTTATCACAGGGCCATCTGAAAGCCCCATTCTGTCCCTCTACATTTCTTATTACCCTGCTTATTAATAGCTACGAAACCTTTTACTCAACGTTGCCGTATTATCACAGTCCAATAAATATCGTGTCATGATTGAGCTCCTTGGCATACCGTCATGAGTACTGGAAAGCCATTTGGAACAGTATGCAGCAACACCAACCGAAAGACATCTTTCCATAGGCCCAATGTATTTGATTCCACTAACACATGTATCTTTGCAAGTATTGGTTTTGTAGGGATTTGGTTTGATTGCATGGAGGGTTTCATCATAAGCTGACATCAGTTAGAGAATTAATTAATCTGATGCTCACTAGTGACTGGCCCTATTCAGGCAGTTAACCTGGGGTTCTAGTGGGAAGCCGTGACCAGTAGGGTACAGCAGGTCGAAGATGAGGACAGTTACTCACGAAGAAGACATTGCGAAATGGTCGCGCTATGTCGTGAATTGGCAGAAGTTAGAATTCAAGGACCATTGGATCGGGTCCCAGTGGCTCAATGGTCTACGAGCTCGCCTCGTAACCAGAAGGTCCTGGGTTCGAATCCCGTTGGGCGCGTACTGCTGAAGAGTCCCAAACTAGGACGAAACAGCTGTCCAGTACTCCCAGCTGGTTTTCCAGTGGTTCTCTAACTGATGTCAGCTTATGATGAAACCCTACATGTATCTTTGCCTGTTGCTTGAACTATCTCACCTCCTCCCCCAATTCTGTTGTGTTTGTGAGCAACATACAAGCTGCAAAATAGGTTCTCTTTAACTTTCTTCTCTAAATGACGTTTCACCAACTGAGTTGCGCTAACTTTCTTGAAAGGTAACTGTATATAAACCTTCTTTCTTAAAAAATAGTCTTTGATATTTAATTGAATTTTTAGATTTTCCCGTCAATTGGTTGAACAGAAGTGCTCGGTCTCAGGTTGACATGTTGGCTTCTTGTGCAGATGCTTCGACGATGTCTGGAAATTTAATTAGAATTTAATTGGTGTATGGTGACTAGCAGTGGAATCCAGGAAGCGCCTTTCGTACTATTTGGGACTCGTCAGCTGGATGTACCCGACATATCAACCTGAGACCGAGCACTTCGGTTCAATCAATCGACGAGCGAGATCTAAAAATTCAATTAAATTAATGTCACCCATTGCGCAAGAGGTAGTGGCACTCGTGGCCTAAGTGGTCTAGTGAATAACGCTTTGACGTTTGAAACTATGGGCACTGGGTTCGAGCCTCGGTGGGAACATCATCACTCACTGGGAAATGCAGGTACATCCAGCTGGCGGACGAGTCCCAAATAGGACGAAATGCGCATCCTGGATTCCACTGCTAGTCACCATCCACCAATTAACGTCTTTGCTGTTGCTTTTCCTTTATTATGCTGTGTATACTTATTAATAAACCTTTCCAAATACTCTACAAGTACACGACTCACTGTTTTTTTCTGCTTTTTTCCTCTCGTTTATTCACTTTCTACATAGATTTTGGAAAGGAGCATAAAAAATTCTCATATTTCAATACATTCATTTGTTGGTGTTCATTGTGTGGTAAAGAACAAGGGAATTTCTTAGTCACACTATATATGTTTGTTAAATTTAGTTACCTGTCAAATGTGATTGGACAAATTTATCTCATGCAATATTTTATTGGTACAAAGTATACAATGTATGGTGCTCAAGTATTAGTTGATTTAGTCAAAGGACAAGAATGGCATCATTCTGGACATTTTCCAAGAGTAACATTTTGTGATTTAGAGGCTAAAAAACTTGGAAAAAATCATATGTAAGTGTATGTCTGTGTGTGGGGGGTGTGTGTTTTTATTTCAACTGATAATATTGTTTCAGGTAAAACCACAGATTGATATCAGTTAGAGAACCATTGAGAGCCAGCAAGGAATACTGGACGGCTGTTTCGTCCTAGTGCTCGGGACTCATCGGCAGTACGCAGTCTGTCTGCCTGTCTGGTTTCAACATAAGACTTTGCACCGATGTGCAGCATTTCGAGTCACCACACTTCACTCAGCACACGAAGCAAAAGAAGAAAGTAAAAGAAAATGAAAAACAGAGACAGTAAACAGAGATATGAGGCAAAAAGAATAGTAATATCGGAGAAAAATATGGTTTTATTGAATATTATAAGTCACAAGGAGTGAATGCATCTGTGCCAGCCATTGAGAACGATTTTGAGCCATATCACTGATTGTCTCCAGCCATTTGTTGTTACCTTCCCGAGGACTCCAACCAGGAAGTCTGCATCTTCCTACTTGGCTTAAACTAACTGTTTTGGATTTGAGTGACTGATGAAGTCATGTTTTGGTATGACCGCCGCTAGCTCTATTCTATCCTGACCCTACATCAGCTAAAATTGCCTGTCGAGGAAGGGGATAGCTAAACATATGTAACACATGTCCTAACCATCTCAGTCGATGTAGCTTCACAGCCTTGTCTATCGATTTCCCTCCTTACGTAGCACTCGACCGATGCCCGACCTCAGTATTGCTCACCCCACTATACCACTTTACATGGGAGATAGAACGCAGACATCTATGATCAAAGACAGCTAATGTTTTCATGTCTTCCACTGTCAATGGCCAGGTCTCACAGCCATAAACGAGGACGAAGTGGACTGCTGAGCAGTACACACGCCCTTTGGTCGACAGCCAGTTGAATGTCATGTCTAGGCTAGAGGCGTCGTAAACTTGCATATGCGAAACGAGCCTTTTGTATCCGTGCTGAGATTTCGTCAGCGATCAACCCACTGCCGTTGGCTGATGCAAATTCTCAAATAAATGAAGTGGTCAACACGCTCTACCACTCCCCTCCCTAGTGCGTGTTGACCACTTCACTTATTTGGGAGGTTACATCAGCTCCCCCTCTTCAGTACTCATTCGCTGGGTTTGGAACCAAGGACCTTCTGGTTACAAGGCCAACAAGCTCATAAACCATTCAGCCACTGAGACTAGAAATCTAACGCTCCCCATTTCGAAACCCAGTGAGTGAGTTCCAAACTAGGGTGAAACAGCTGTCCAGTACTCCTTGCTGGCTTTTAGTGGTTCTCTAACTGATATCAATCCATAGTCTACCCTCAAACAAACAGAATCCCTACAAACTAATTCTTAAAAATTTAAATACTGTATTAAATTGCCAAGTATTGATTTGTTGATTCCTAAGGTTCCTAGTGGAAAGCAGAGATTAAACAGCACACCAACATTTCAATGTGCTTTCTGCAGTCTTTCTCTTGGTGGACCCCAGGATTGTCGATAATCTTTCTTTATCTTCTCATAGGATAACCTCTATGTCATCCTTGACCTCTCGCTCAACTAGTCATTTCCTATATAGGTTCTAGTCGAGATTCTGCCTGGAGCATGTTGCTACTCAGTGATCCCCTCAGCGTTTGTACAATCCATCTCTATTTCTAAGGATTAGTGAATAGTTTGTTTTTCAAAAGAATGGATACTGAACAAAGAATACTCTTTTCGATAACTTCATCATCAGGCTCTACAGTTATATATACATCCTTAGTAGTGAATGAATGAATTAGTGTTATGAACAACATTAATGCTGTTCAAATAACATCTAATCAATAATAATATCAATAGATTACAGTTCATTAGCATAAACATAAAATAAGCTGAATGTCAGAAACATTAGGAAAGATAATAATACAAATTTTTGAATTTCTAGTCTCCACTGAAGCACGGCCAGGGCAGTAGTGGCTAGCTGGACTTGCTTCTTTTGCACACAGAGCACTGATTGTTTGCGGTGAATTGCAATAACCTCTGCTGTTTGGAGTACGCGGTGCCTCGATGATTTCGGCAATTTATTAGGCAGCCGGTGGATTATAGAGAAGGATTCTTCAATGCTGGCTTTGTTTCCGGTTTGCACCAGATAGTCCAATAATGAACTGTCAATGATTTTAACTACACCTTTCCTTACCCATAGTGGGAGATGTTCTCGAGCACGAAAACTCAAGTTCCTAGAGCAACGGCCAACATAACTCGCTCCACTATAAGCGTAGTTGAATTGGTAGATACAATTGGAAGTGGCTCGCTAGTCTAGGTACTTCATCTTTCAGTCAAAGAATCACCATCGGTTGTGTAGAGAATAAGACGCGAAGTTCGCCAGTATTGAAAGTTCTTTGAACTGATTTTCTTAATTTCTTTGTAATTATTTCACTTGATATAACGCCTTTGAATTGCAGTCGTATATTTATATAAAGGCTTCTAGTTTACAGATAGTGAGTAGTCCTTTTCCGCTTTCTTTGCCGTGTGTTTCTTGATAAATTCTTCGGGATAGCTATTTTCGATCAAAGTATCATATACAATGCCTAATTCATCTTCAAATACTTCTTCTGAGCATTTGGCTCTTACTCTTTGGCAGAGGGTTTTCACTAAATTTCGTTTGTACTTGATAGGAACGAAGCTGTGAAAATGTGTATATTGTCCTATCCAAGTACTTTCTCTATGCAAGTTTCTTTTTCTGCTACCATCTGGTTTTCTTGTAAGTAGGACATCCAGGAGGGAAATTCTGTCTTAGGATTACTCTTCGCATGTGAATTTCATAGCCAAATGTACTTCATTGAATTCAGTAATTATTGTAATTCTATCAGAACTATTTTCACAAAGAATGAAGGTATCATCCACAGTTTATTTTTCTGAATTTTTGAGACACTTTAGTGGTAGCTACCTTTCGATTATAAAGTGAAAATGTTGCCATTCACTCACTAGGTTAGAATTGAATGGCCTATTCATTCTGATGACTCCCGACTTGCAGTAGAGATCACCATGATCTATCAGCATCAGAGAGACAAGTTCACCGATTATTCTGAATATAAATCGTTCCCTTAATAATGGCTACAAAACGGATGTTCTTATGTTTTAATAAAAGTAAGGATAATTGGGTTACACGTGTTCATTAACAAGATGCTCAAAGATCGCATTGGCTAGCTGTGATTTCAAAATAATTGAGAAGATTTGTAGATCAGATGGATTATTTTGATTTGGCTGTGTCATCTACAATGGTTGAGTCCAAATGAAAAGCTTTCGTCCTCCTTCTAGACAACATCTTCAGCGCAACCTTACGATAACTGTGGTTTCACGAGTCACAGTACTCTAAACCAATGCTTGAATCGTAAACATGCTTGTCTGTCAAACTGCAGGTTTTGATCCATTTTGTGATGATCCCATCTTGGATGCGTGGTGTTTATATGCATCAAACTAAAGTAAAATCCCTAAGCCTTACTCTTAAATTCTCAATCACTCCTTAATTGGTTTCAGTTCGTGACTGAAATCAATTTTGAAATAGGTGCAGAGTAGTTGGTAGAGCCTAAAACCGACTCGTTTCTGTGCGAAGGCAGGAGAGCGATCTCTGTGTACTGCTGCATAGTTGATAAAACTTATTTGGGAAAGGCATAGTCACAAAACTCTACAAAAACAACAACATAAAAAAGACTTATCGTTGACACATCTATGAAGGTCAGCAGTGCCATTAGGCAGCTTTTAAAACAAGGTAAATTTCTGTGCTTTCTGTAGTTGGATTGTAAGGATTAGATATGTTTTGACGAGTTGATCACGTATCGATATCAGTTAGCGAACCATTGGAAAACAGCAAGGAGTACTGGACAGCTGTTTCATCCCAGTTTGTGAATCTTCGGCAGTACGCACTCACGGGGGTTAGAACCCAGGATCTTCCGGTTACAAGGCAAGCTTGTATACAATTACTGCACAACAGGATTAATCAACCAAAATTTAACTATAGGAAGAATCTCGGCTTCAAGTAGACTATTCTCAACATGATGGGATCAAAACTCCGTCCACAAGAGTCACTCACTAAGTCTTCCCGTAAACAGTCCTAGGTTGGAACGACCTTCCCTTCACTCAAACAAAATGACACCGTGAAACAACACATTATCAGTGTATCATCACGCAACCACAAATAGAAGCATTAAAATTGGGGATTAAACATGAACAACGACAAATAATAAGAATCAAATCAGTATATGATATGTAAATGTCTGAAGAATGATGGAGAGTCCAGACGTTTAACGGATAATAATTCCAAAGTTAGTTGAGACATCCAAACAATATGATGATATTAAATAGCTGGAGGTTATCAGCCACAGGAAGCTTTGAACCTGGGTGTCGCGCTAGTTGGTACTCACCAGTCAGCAAGGCGTATCTGTAACCTTGAAGGAACTCATGTCCCTTCTGAGGAGATTCAAACCCGCACCATCCAGTACCACCTACAGTCAGAAACGTCACCACTAAGCTAGCTATTCGGGCTTACAACTAACCTCCTGTAAGACTGTAGTGGCTACTTTGACTGGACACTGGTCAGTAACTAGTGTAGTGTGACGTGTCTAGTCCTTTGTTTGTTTGGTGCAGACTGAATTCTATCAGTCAGGTTTGCAATGTGGCCACCATTCTAGGTAGCCCATCACCCTACAGGAGGTCAATCGCGAGCCCGAATAGCTAGCTCAGTGGTAACGTTTCTGACTGTAGGCGGCACTGGGTGACACGGGTTCGAATGTCAGAAAAGACATGAGTGTTCCTTCAAGGCTGCGTAAAACCTAGGTTGGGCAAGGCTTCCTGTGACCGAATGCCTCCAATTATCTAATATCATCAAATCAATGTGCTCCGTGATGACAAGTCACCTCGAATGGTGACCACATTGCAAACCTGACTGATAGAATTCAGTCTGCACCAAACAAACAAAGGACTAGACACGTCACACTAGTTACTAGTGTCCAATCATCAAAGTACATCTAAGCCATTCTCAACAGTT